AGATGTACTATCTGTCCAAAATACAGATTGCTCGAGTTTCATTCTCAACTGAGCCCTTAACATGAGATCCACTCAGACGGCAACTACAGCGGCTGTTAGTTCCAGACGTGGAATAGTGACAGGTTTTAGAGGTGTTACCCTTGCCTTGCCCATCAAGAATGCTACATGGATGGATTTCCTATTGTCTTGCATGCGCAGATATGACACAGTTCCATATCAGATTCACCAGCATCTGAAAAATGGTGTAACTGTGCATGTGAGAGAGGACCAAACTCTCTTGGTTGTATACACCTTTTAACCTTGAAATGGGAAAGCATTTGCAAATCACTGAGCCAACTTTTCCACTTTTGCAACATGGTTTGGGGTATTGGTTCATCCCATCCCAGTTTCCTTTTGCAAAGCTTCTGCTGCATTCTTTTGGCAGGCAGCAGGACTGGTGCAAGAAATCCCAATGGAATGAAAATCAAGTTCTATGAAAATAGAACTTGATATTGACAACATTCCATGCCTAGTACAGGATTTTTTAGGAACATCCATTTTGAAGTTGAATGTATAAATTTCCACACACCACTGCAAGCCCAGAGCTACCTGAAGTTTGTCTCTGTCAAGATTTAATTCTTTCAAGTCTTTAGCCCTTTGCTCCTCTGAGATACTTTGCAACAGGGTGCGATTGTTACTGACCCACTTGGTCAGTGTAAATCCTCCCCTTTGACAGAGTGCTGAAAGATCTTTGACCAAATCAACAGCATCTGAGGTGGAGGCCACACTCTTTAGACAGTCGTCCACATAGAAGTTCTCTTTTATCGTTTCACATACCTTGTCTAGGAATTCAGTTTGATTGTCCTCAGCCGTTTTTCTCAAAGTGAAACTAGCACAGCTCGGGGAAGATACTGCACGGAACAGATGAATGGTCATTTGAAACTCAGTTATGTCCTTGCTGAGATCTCCATCTGGCCACCACAAGAAACGCAGAAAGTCTCTGTCCTCTTTGGCAACTTTAACTTGGTCAAACATTGCCTTTATGTCACCCATAAATGCAACTGGATCCTGTCGAATGTACTTGTGAGATTAGGACCCTGTAAGAGCTGCTTGTTTAATGATGTCCCCTGGAATGATGCCCCACAGTCAAATACAATTTTTATTGATTGCTTTCTGGGATGGTAGACTGCGTGATGAGGAATGTACCACTTCTGTCCATGTTCGCAAGACAGCTGCTGTGAAGGTATTTGCTCTGCATATCCATTACTTATCATCTCGTCCATAAAGGTTTTATATTCTTTATGCAACTGTTCATTGTTGAGAAGTTTTTGTTTTAGACTTTGCAATCTTTGTTTAACTATGGAGAAATTGCTTGGCATCTTTATGTTATCCTTTTTAAAAGGTAACTTCAATCAGTAGTGTCCATCTTCCATTGTTGCAGACTCTTCCATGAGCTTCATGAACTTAAGGTCCTCCCTTGACAAACCCTTTTCGTCTGTAACCTTTTCATTAAAGTCATAGTTATATTGACTTTTCTACATTTCTTCCAGCTTACAAACAGATATCCTATTTACAACTGTTGGTGAGTGCTCGCTGTCCAAGTTGCTTTTACCATCTTCCATGGGCCCATTTATGACCCAACCCAATGCTGTTCTTATAGCATATGGGCCATTCCCCTGGCTATGAATGACCTCCCATGGTTCCAATAACTTGGGAGCGTTGCATCCAATCAACAGGTTCATATTAGCCATTATGTGGGGAATTCGAACCTTTGACAGATATGGCCACCTGACCAGATCTTCTTCCTTTACAAGATTATCTGTGGGGACAGGCATCCTTTCCTGTGTTAGGATTTCTGGAAGTTCATAGAAGGGATTGCTGCCTAAACCAGAAACTTCAAGACCAGTAAGTGAGTGGGCAGAGACGACCTTTTCTTGATCCATTGTTTGTAACAGGAAGTGAGTTCTTCTGCCCACAAGATTTAGCTTTTGCATGAGGTGCTCTGAACAAAAGCTAGTTGAACTGCCAGGATCTAAAAAAGCATATGTCTGTATGACATAACTACCTTTAACAGACTTTATTTGAACTGGGAGAATGGAAAGCAAACCGCTGTCTCTTTCGGCCCCTGTATGACCACAAGTTTTCATAGGAGTTACATTCTTTGAAGAGGAGGGCTCTCCATAGGATTCAGGACTTAAACCATTGTTATCAATATGGAGGACAGTGGGATGACCTTTACCACACGTCCTACATATCAAACGCTTAGCACAGTCCTTGCTTATGTGCCCAGCACCTAAGCAACCAAAACACAGCCCTTTATCCTTTAGAAAAAGCATTTTGTCTCTGTGCTTCTTCCGCTGAAACTGTTGACACTCCTCCAGTGTCCCTATGTGTCCCCTATGACAGCTGGGATAGGCTCCAGCACCCCCCACGACCCTGAAAAGGATAAGCGGAAGCGAATGGATGGATGGACATATTTACACCTATTTAAGGTGGAATCAGCTTATCCACCCACTCTCACACCAACATATGATGATCCTGGGTTAGTGTCTTGGTTTCAGATCACAACATCAGCACATTCTTTGCTTGGGTGGTTGAGTGGTTCTTGTCCATGACAGCTACAGGCACAGTGCCATCAGCCATGCAGCAGCACATGTCTAACCCAGGAAAGTCAGTGTCGCTAAGTCTCATGTAAACATTGTCCTAAAGTGGTGGGAAAGTAGCTGCAAGCTGGCTGTACATGCACTGTGTCCAATGCTCTACTCATACATTATATATATATTGCATTATGTTACATTGTTAGAATACATCTTTTTTTTAATAAATTATGAAAGTCAGTTGAATTTACTGCC